ATCAGCTGGTTTTTCTTAGATAGAAAACTCTGAATCAATCTGACTGGATGATCTGGTTGAACTGTAATGTGCCTTTAGATGACATGTGTTGTGAATTGGAGCTATAGAAATAAACTGAATTCAGGTAAATTCTATTCTATTCTGCCAAATTTTAGAAAAAAAAAGATTCAGCAGGGCAGCTCATCATCCTGCTGTCTTGATGTTTTCCCACAGGTTGTATTAAGAAGGTTTTATCTGTTTTAGAGTCTGATTTGATTGATAATCATAATCATATCCATTATGTCTGGTGTTTTCCCCAGGTAAGCAATTATTAAACCATTGTTAAAAAGGAGAAACTTGGACAAATTGGTCCTGCAGACCTCCCCTTCATCGGTAACACTTTCTGTTCTTTGTAAAAAAGTTGTGTTTCAAAAGTTACTAGAGGCCTTCTTAACAATGACCAGCTGCTTAGACGTCTCTTTGCCAGCCACAGTATTGAGACTGCCCTGATTAATATGTGGATGCACCATAATTTTCTTCAATAGAATAAAAATAAAATTGAATAAAAAAAAAAGACAGGTAATAATTTTCTCACTAAGCAGCAGAGATCCAGAGTTAGCTCCCAGCTTTAGCTCCTGCAGCTAGAAACCACTAATTATGGCTAAAATCATGGTGGGCTCAGACCTGAACCTTCAGAGGCTCATAAAGGCAGTTAATAAGTCAGCCTTTGATCACCTGAAGAACATCTCCAGGATTAAAGGACTAATGTCCAGCAGGATCTAGTTAAACTCATTCATGCATTTATCTTTAGTAGAACTGATCACTGCAACAGTGTCTTCATAGGTTTTCATAAAAGCTCAATTAGACAGACATGCCTGCTTTAAATATGTTTTTATCGTTACTTGCCTTTATTCTGATTTTTTTCCCCTTCTGATTTCCTGTTTAATTCATTTAAAGCACTTTAAATTTTCTTTGCCCTGAATTGCGCTAAACAAATAAATTTGCCTTGAGCCTCTGGAGTTATTTTACATTGAAGAATTCTTTATAAAATGAAGAACACTTTGGACAACCCTGAGAATTATCTTCATTAAACTGTTAAAGAAAGGATCGTCAGCCAGAAGCTTCTCCAGATTTGCTGCATGAAAAGCCACTTCAGGAGATTCTTAAGAGATGACACCATCAACATCTACAACAATATTTGAAGAAGCCTCTATAATAAGAGTTACAACACATTTGAAGTCATGTTGGGATCGTCATATTATCCTTAATTGAGTTGAATAACAGATTTAAAAGATTCACCAAGTGGGAATGAAATCTATGTGTGAAAAAGCAAGACTAGACCCATGATTCACCAGCAACTTTTTGTTAACAATCCCTTGCATGTTTGTGAACTAATTTTGGCCCTCTCTGCTTTCCATAACAGCAAGAGTGGCTGAGTTGAAAGTAGGTGTACTTTCTCTATCCTACTTTTTAATCTCAGCCATCATCATTATGTTTTATATTTTTATTGTTCAAAGAACACATTTTTTAAGGTGAGAACTAACTTCAGTAATCATGTTGTTTGAGTTCACCACTTAATAAAGGCAATTATTATTCCAAAGGCAGATGGTGCAGTAATGAAGCTAAAGCCCCTGTCACATCTGGCAAAAACGCTGGCATACGCTGGATAAGTTATGGGTATGTATTGTTTAAGTTATGCTGAAATACACTGAAACACACTGGCACACGTCAACATACAGTAGGTTGAGAAATTTTGAAAAGCACAAAAATGCCAGCGTATATAAGTTCCAGGTCAGTTATCTGATGGTTGACATCCGTTCAGTGTCAGTTCCTCATCAGTTTTAGTGTCTAGCTTATCCTAAACCTCTGAGTAACTTGTGCATAACCTCTGAGTAACTTG